GCCATTTGGTCAAGGTACAGGTACAGGTTACTGGGGCCAAGTAGAATGGACAGGGGACGGGTATGCTCCACATCCTGGCTTTTCTGATCCCTTGTAATGAGAGCCAGACCCTTCCCCTATGCTGAGAAGATGTGAGTTGCCACCAAAGAGGGCTTTGGCCAGCAGCACCTTGATCCTGCTCAGGCAGCCTCTGAACTTTTCCCTCCAGTCTCTCAAAGGCTGTTCCCCTTGCGGAGATCAAGTCAACTAAGCGTCCAGGGAGGTTTCCAGAAAAGACTAATAGAGAAGCATACATCCTGAAAGAGGTGAGTCACAGTAACCTGGCTCTCTTGTGTAAAAGAGTTTCAAGGATCCACTGCATTTCCCCTTCCCAGGTGGGCATTTCCCAAGTGCAAGGGCAATGCTTAACCAAAAGGAACAAATCAGGTTGCTGTGGCCTCAGCTCTGCTGGCCAGTTGTTTAGCCAGGCCAGGCTTAGCGGGGTCCCTGAGTGAGAGCTCCCATCCTTGCCACAGATCTAGCTGTTCAGAGGCCAGTTTTCCCTTGCAGCCTGCATCCCCCTCTGCCAGGTCTCCCAGCCCTGGGCACCAGTCAAGTCAGAGGCACTCCACACACCCCAACACCAGCTCTGGCCTTCCCGTTTTTTGAGTAGGTGGTAGCTTCCACACCTTTTTTCTTCTGGGCCAGTGCTCACAATGCAGTGGAAATCGGTCTTTCGAGTGGGTCCTGGGAGCCTGGACTGCTTCTGGGGCATCAGCATGGCTTCTAGGGGGCAGGGCTTGGGACTGGCTTGGGGGAGGGGCTCCCAGCAAGGCCAGACAGCTTCCAGATTCCCCGGTCACTGGGACCCTCAGCATGGCCCCTCGCCCAGAGTAGCTGAGCTTGGGGATGAGGGGGGACTGGGCAGGGAGCCCACTGTCTCCTCCTCATGACTTCCCTTCCTCCTCATCCCAGGAGCCTCCTTGCCGGCCAACTGTACTAAAACTCCGGAAAACCATGGCGGGGAGGTTTTCCAATTAGAACATTCTTTTTCCGATCTGTGGATGATTCTTAAAGCAGCAAAAAGCCATTCTTCAGGGCATTCAGGGATTATCTGCCAGCAAGGCCTTGGCTCAGCTTGTGCACTCGTGCTCTGGAGGCCTGGCCTGGGGCTGCTTCAGAGCCAGAGATGAGAAGCAATCTGAGTTCTGGGGCATCAGGTCACATAGGCCAAAACTGATGGCAGAGTGTTTCCTGGACTTATTCAAAATAGTAGATTCAAAAGGCAGTGGAGAGTCCAGCCTGTAGGGGTGGGAGATGTCAACTTGACCTGACCTGCATGACCTGACCTCCCTGCTCCCGGTGGGGCTACTGTCCACAGAGCAAGAAATCCCAAGGCATGGATTCTGCCCCTTGGAACTGAACTGGTCTGCCCTTCCCATCAGACTGGGAGCTGCTCCAAGACAGGACTGGGTCTGACTGGTCTCTGAGTGGGTGGAGGGTGTGGCAGTGTGGTGGGGAACAGGAGGCCCAAAGGGGACAGTTGGAGAGTGAGAGTATGCATTTGTGCCAGGGAAGGGGACCAGCCCCTTAGCTGGGAATACAGGCCGAGGGCAGGGTGGGCCCCTCCCCCAAGGGCAAGACTGGGCAGGCAGGGTCTCACAGACAGATTGGATCAGCTCCCAGGAACCTGGAGAGCTGGTTACAGATTCAGAGGTCTGGCCTTACAGGCTCAGAGCTCCGTAGGGGCTGCTGTGGGTGCAGCCATGCCTGGGGACCCCTGCCCCCAGGCAACCCATCCTGCTTGGAGCTGGCAGAGTCACTCAGCAAGTGGAAACTGGTTGAAGAGCTTAGGAAGATGAGGCAGCAGGGTGAGCACTGGAAGGAGGGAGGGAAGAAGAGGATTAGGGCGCAAACAGGAGCCCAGCCCTCCCCACACGTGAACCTGAGCACCCTAGCTGGACAGGGGCTCCATCCAGAGTAACTGAAGACTTGGCTTTAGTCCTAGCTCTGCCTCAGACTGGCTGTATGGCCCCAGCTAGATGCCATCCCTGCCTGGGCCTATTTCCCTATTTATACAATGGCAGAGTTTGGGTCAGTGCTTCGTCTCCAGGTCCCTCCAATATGAGGACACCCTGCTTGAGGGTTGGCTTTGGGGCCTGACAGCTTTCAGAACCCCACCCATTATCCCCCTCCCAAGCCTGGGAACTCTTTGGCTACAGTGGTTTGCCCGAGTTTTGTTCCCGGCCCTGGAGCCTCCCTAGAGCTTAGGAGCACCGCTGGCCCGTTCTTTCCAAAGAGCCACATATCCCCCTACTCGTCTGCTTACTTCAACCTGGTCTCCTAGATAATCTGTCTTCTTGCCTGCTCATTGGCTGTGACCTCCCTCCGCTTCGGAGGGGTTCTCACCTACCCTCTCCTGCCTCTACCTTCCAGGCCTTTTGCCTCCCCAAACAGCCCAGCCTGGCCCCACTCTCAAGCCCACCCTAGTTAAAGGCTTGAGCTGAGAATAGAAAGGGACAGGGCCAAACTCAGGCCAGGCAGAGGTAAAGCCCAGTCTGGAGGCAGCCAACAGTCACAGGGTCTTGGCCCTCAAGTTGTAGGCTAAGGTGAAGTTCATGAAGAAGCTAGTGTTGTGGCTGAGAGTGGGTAGAAGGTCACTACCAAGGGGACATCTTGTGCAGGGGCTCAGTGGTATGAAAGCACTTGCTGTGTCTGGGCCCAGGTGTCTGAGGACAAAGGGTCAAAGAAGAGGCTGATGAAGTTGGCAGGGGCCTTGAAGCCTGGCTGAGGGGGCTGGGGGGGGGCCCTGGCAGGAGTGGGGGTTCTGTTGGGGCAGTGAACAGGGGGGCAAGGCAGGGCAGGGTAGGGCAAGGCAGTTGCCATTCGAGTCAAACCCGTTTGTAGGTGAGATCAGCTGCAGGGCCTGGCAGTCTGGGAGGGAGGGAGGAGTTGAGGAAAGGCTGGTCTCTTAGGCTGGGCAAGGGCTGAATCACCTGGGACATGGGAAGAGCTCAAGGCGCCAGGGCAGCCCAATCCAGGACAGCACTCACTGAGTGGCCATTGGTGTCCTTGGACCCCACTCTTGCTTGTGCTCTCTAGCTGGCCCACCCACACTTAAGGCTCTGGACCAAGATTGCCCTTTCCCACTGGTGGCCTTGGGAGGCAAGGGCCACCCTCTTCCTCACCCTTACATCTAACCCATCACCGTGCCCGCCACATTCTACATCTTTAGGCTAGGGGTTTTTGAAAGGGAAGGGGGCCCAGAAAGGGGATGTGACACACCCTAGGTCATATAGTGGGTATATTTAGGAGTTCAGACACCAAGCCAAATCCATGGCCACCGGCAGCCCAAGGTGGGGGATGAGAAGGCGTTAGATGCTGGTCACCAGACTGGAAGCAGAAAAATGCTGACTGGCAAGAGACAGATGAACCGAAGTGACTTTATATACAATTCCCCCATCCCCACCCTCACACACATAGTCACACAGACACAGGGTCACCTCCTTCCTGCCTGATAAAGCCCAGGAAGAGAACATAAAGATAGATTCCAGAGTTTCAATCACCTTTCAATCCCCTCCTTCTGCAATTCCTCTCTGACCCCTTGTGCTTGTCTCTATGCCCCAGTGATGACTCAGATGGGGCACTGCCCTCCTGGAGCTCACCATCTAGAACAATAGAGGGTGATGTCCACTATGCTAGATCAATGTCAGCAGAGGAAATGGGAAGGAAGCAATCTACTTGCCTGGGTGGCCCATGCAGTCAGAAAAGGATCTACAGCCACTTGAGTGAAGGTTTGGAGTATGACTAGGGCAAGGGGACAAAGAACATTCTAGGGAGTCTGAGTGCCAGGAGCAAATGCCACAAGGAGATAGGACTTGTGATATATTCGAAAGGCAGAAGGAAGGGAGTGTGGCTGGATCTGCAGAGAGAGGTTGGTGCCACCTATCCTTGGGCTCTCTTAAAGTTTGGTTTTTATCCTGAGAGCAATGGGAAGCCATCAAAAGAGTTGCAAGCATGTAAACTACTAAACTGACTTCTGTGTGGAGACTGGATGGAAAGGAAGGCAAGGCCAGAGGCAGGGAAACCAGCAAGGAGGCTGGCCCCATAGCCCAGGCTTGGACTAGGGTGGTGGCAGTGGGCATGCACAGAAGTCTATAGATTGGCGGGCCATTTGGGATATAAACTTGAGCCTGTCATCCTGATAGGCCAACTTTTGGCCAACTCTATACCTCTGTTGGACTGATTTAACTGTCTCTTGTATCAGAGGCATTCCCTGGACCCACAGGTAGGGCTGGGGCTTCTTTTGATGCTCCCTCCTTCCTAGCCCCTAGCCCCGTGCCTTGCACATAGCAAGTACTCAGTAAGCATGATTCAATGACACAAGTCCTCAAAAAGCACGAATGAATGACACTGATCAAACTGCACTGCCCTAGGGGTCTGGATGTGTCACCTGTGAGGCGGCCCGGCTTGCTGAGAAGGTGCTGCCAGCATGGCTTTCCAGGGTGAGAACTTCCCTCGTGCCGCCGGTGAGCCGGGCTCCCTCACTTTCTTCTCCTCCTTCCCAGCCTCTGGGACTTCCTGTATGATCTCAGCCTCTGGCCCCTCGGCCCCCCTCCCCGCCCCTGTCTGGGATTTTCATCTGTAAAATGGATCTAGGAACAGTAGCTCTCAACAGAATGAACCCGCAGCATCTGTGGAAGTCATTGGCCCTGAGTGGGGGCCAGATCGCGTCGGGTGCGGGCAGGGGCGCAATAGGCAGCCGGAGCCCTTCATGTGGCGGAGACCTCCCGGCCTAGGGCCGCAAGCCCGAAGGAATTTGCCTGGAAGTTTTCCACCGGGGCAGAGCCTTCTGGAGCTTGCTCTGGGCTCGGCGTGGGGAGCCCCGGCCTTGATTTCTCCAGCAGCCCCGCGGGGCGGGGCTGGGAAGGGGCGGGCGGGCCGAGGACACTGGCGGGAGAATGTGCGGAATGTGCCAGGCGCATCTACCTACCCCAAGAGAGGGCAGAGGAAGGGGGCCGGCCGAGGGGAGGGGCGAGGGGCGAGGCACTGGGCGCCGGTGAAAACCTGTTTGTTCTCCTGCGGGTGGAGCCCAGTCCGCGCCTTCTCGCTGCCCTGCGCGCTGTCCGCTGCCCTCGGCGCCCGCCGCCCCGCACCCGCCGCCCCGGCCCGGCTCGGCCCGGCTGGGCGCTGTCCACCTGAGGGAGCCCGCGCCCCGTGCCCACCCTATCCTCTGCCCGCCCCGCGAGCCGGGCACCTGCCAGGTAGGGCTGTCGAGTCGCCGTTGGTGTGGCCCGGTGGAGAGGCAGCGGTGGGGGGCGGGGGGCGCCTGGCCCATGCCCAGCCAGGCGGCAGGGACAATTCGGGGCCTCAGTTTCCCCTTCCATAATCCTCACCCGCTCCACGCATTTCTCCTGGGCTCCCATCAGGAGGCAGTGCACTTGGTTTTCTGGTTTTCACTGTAAGCAAAGATACTAACCTAGAGAGCCAAAGAAGTCTGGCCTCCTCACCCCTTCCGGAAGAGAAGGTTTGATTGTTAGTGAATGGCCTGGAGCCAGGGTGCTCTGAGAGTTGATTGCAGGCAAAAGAATCAGGACATTTCAGATCAGCTAGTTCACTGTGTCCATTTTATAGGTAAGAACACTGAGATCCAGAGGCTGGCTCACCCTGAAGCCCAGAGCAGGGGGCTTGAGGGTTGTTTGTGATGAGGATATGCTGGGCACAGGGCAACCTCCTGGAGGGCTACCAGAAAGGTAGCTGCCCCAGACAGAAGGCGCCGAATCAAGTGTCACTGGGTGTTATCAACAGGATCTGCAGCAAACTGGCTGTGTGGCTGAATTGTTTGGATGGGGGCAGGGGAGCCAAGAGCCTTGTCCTCTTTGGAAAGGCAGAGTGATACCTGGCCTCAGGAAGACTGAATGCTCAGCATCTCTGACTGCTCTGCCCCTTCTGAGCTGGGGGCATCTGGGCAGCTCATCAGTCCAAGGAGGTAACACATCAGGCCTCCTCCCACCCAGGGCTGCTGGGGGCTCAGATGTGTTCATTGTGAGTGGGACTGGGCTCTGGAACATCTGAGGTATGGTAGGAATAGTGTTCTCACTGAGCTGTTTGCACCTAGCTTTGGCATTGTGGAAGGCTGTGCATCTCAGGATCACACTCTGTGAACCCTGAGAGAGAGCCCCCTCACACCCCATTCAGCGGTGGTTGAGACTTCCCTCACCTGGACCCACTCTTGCTTTGGTCTCATGGCCCTTTAGATTTCTGGTCATGGTATCTGGCTGGGGACAGGAAGCAGAGCCCCATGGGCTGATTGATTAGCCTGGGCAGTGGGGAAGGGCTCTGGGTTCCTGCTGCCTCCTCACCAGCTCACATCATGCTGGGAAGGGGAAGAAGGGGACGGTCCTACCTTCCCAAAGCCTCCGCTGCCCCATCTGAAAAATCAGAGGCAGCCCAGGGGCCAGCTCAGAGGCCCTGCTTGCCACTTAGAGCATCTGGCCAGGACTAGATGCACAGCCCAGGGGCCAGCTCAGAGGCCCTGCTTGCCACTTAGAGCATCTGGCCAGGACTAGATGCACAGCCCAGGGGCCAGCCTGTGCTGTTTGTCTCATTACCCCTGGGCCATCCCAGGATGGGAAGGAGCAGATCCACCTCACTTGCCCTACCCCCTCCTTCCACCAATTATGAGCCCCAGCCCTTGTGCCTTCCTGGCCTGGACTTCAGATGCTCTGGCCTGCCTGGAGGCTCTATACCCAGCTGTGGAAAGCTGATGGAAGGTACCCAGAGCAGCACACAGCAGGTGCTCCAGATCTGTTCATTTCCACCCTTTGGACATTCACAAGTCAGCAACAGAGGTGGCCCATGACCATATTGGGTGCTGCAGCTCTGAGTGGCATAAACACAGGGGGCTGTGGGAGCCTGGAACAGGGAAGCAGCTCTGACTTGGAGGATCAGGGAAGGCTTCTTGGAGGAGGAGGGCTTGGAAGCAAGGGGAGGAGCTCAGCAGCTGTCCGGTCAAGGTCTCCGTGTCCTTTGAGGCTGCATGAGTCTAGCCTCCCTCTTGTTCCTGAAAAACCCAAACCAGTTCTTCCTAAGCCCCTATATGTTCTACCCAGAGCTGGGCAGTGGGGGCCTGGAGAGAAATCAGATGCAGGCCTTGCCCCAAGGAGTGACAGTCTGGCTGGGAAGATGGACAGCCACTCAGTAGGGATTTCAGACAGTCGCCCACCGAAGGGCAGTGACCCCAGCGGTGGCCAGTGTTTCACCTCAGCCTCCCGTAGCGTGCCTGGTGCCCCTTGTGTTTCTGCCTAGTGCCCCTGTAGCCTCCTGAGATCTAGCAGGGCAGAGAGGCATCAGCACCTGGTCCCCGAACTGTCCTCAGTCTCATGCCAAGAAAAGTCCCAAATCTGGCTCAATGTACTCTGGAAGCTGGAAGCCTGCCTTCTTCCTTCCCCACTCAGCTTCCACGGGTGACTGATCCCTTTGGTCCGGATCTTGCTTCAAGCCACAGCCCATAAGGTGCCAGCTCATGCATAACACCAGCTTGCTTTCTGCTTGCTGAGCCCTGAGGCTGCCCCCACTGCCAGGCCCTCCTGCGATGGGATAGAACCATGGCTGGAGAAGAGGAGAGCTGTTTTCCATGGCTTCAGAGCTCTGAACAGCAACCCACATGGTGCCCCAGGCCTTTGGGGCCCTGTGGTTGGGAGTCATCAGGGACTCTGCATTCATGTCCACTGTGCCTGCAGAGAGCTGGCTGATGGCAGGACAAGGGCAGTGCACGCGGGGGACCCACGTTTCTGAGAGTGATGTTCGGGGGAAGTTGGCTGATTCGGGGAGTGTCTTCTGATTACTTGCCTGTGTTGGGCACTGGGGACAGCAGTGACTGAGAACTGAGAAGTGTGGGGGTAGGAAAGCAGGAGGGGCAGAACCGTTGCTTCTGAGAGTCAGTGAGCTGTCAGGAGACTCATGAAGTGGAGCAGGGAGATGAATGGTAGTCGAGTGTGTGATGGAACAGGGAGGTGCCTCTACAGCCTAGTGGTAAGAGAGCAGCTCAGAGGTCAGATTGGGTTCAAACCCCAGCTCAGCCACCATCCAGTTGTGCAAACCTGAGCATATCACACAACTTCTGGAGGCCTCGGTTTTGTCACCTCTACAGAAGGGAGGCTGAAGCTGGGAGCACAGATTGAGCCAGGACCACAGTGTCCCCCAGGGGCCATGGTGGCCAGGGTGAGGTTGGGGCCAGGCTGGGAGGAATGTGGGCTCCCCACCTAAAGACAAATGGTTTAAAAATCACTGCTAGTCTGTTCCAATGATGTGGATGGTGTCTACCCACGGTTAAATTATTTGCCACAGAACACTTAATTCTTAGATCATTTCTGGATGCGTACTAAAATCTGATTTGCTTTCTTTTTTAATGTTTGCTGTTTTCATTTTTAACTGTTTATCTTGGATTGATTTAAAACTCACAGAAAAGTTGTGAGAATGATACCAAGAACTCCCTCAAAGCCTCATCTGGATTCCCTGTTGTGAACTTTCCTGATGGTTTTCTTTAGGAGCACTTGTGTGACAGTAACATTCATTGAGGAGTGGCCATGGAGGGATCAGGAAGTGGGCAGGGCTGGCGTCAGTTCTTTTTTCCAAAAGGGAAACTGAGGCACAGAGGGGCACTCACTCAAGACTCATTTGAGGATTAGGAATGGAGCCAGGTTACCTTGTCTCACAGACAAGCATGTATGCATTTGGTGAGTGTTTTCTGATTACTTGCCTGTGTTGGGCACGGGGGACAGCTGTGACTGAGAACTGAGAAGGGTGGGGGTAGGAAAGCAGGAGGGACAGGTCTGGGTGGAGAAGGGCCTGGAAAGTGAAAAGTTAAGAGACCCATTGTCAAACTCTAATGTGGGGAGACAGGAACCTACAGCTTAAGCACATGTCCCAGGAGTTTTGGATTCTAGAGGGACTGAGAGGCCACTTTCAGAAACACCGTCTAGGTTTTTCCCATTGGAAACATGCTCACTTCCCACTTCAAGAGAGAGCCAAGAAGCAGAGCCATTGGTGGTGATGATGGAGGTGGCTGTGGAGCCCCGTGGCCATGCCCTGGGTCAGAGAGGAGACCTGGCCTCTGGGGCCAGTGGTGGGCAGGCCCCATGCTCCCACAGGTTGTCGCTGATGGTCCTGGCCTTGGACCCTTTAGTCTGGTTCCAGTGATCATTGGCTCAGCACACCACTTTTTGATGACTAGGTCAGTTTTCCAGAGAGCTTGATGTGACAAGGGGTTCCAATCACAGGAATGGGTGAAAATGCTTACATCAGGCAGTGCCTGGTTTAGACTAAAAAAACAAAACAAAGACCCAGGATTTGCCTCACCACTTCTGCCTGGTGAGTTCCTACTCATTCTTTCATTCTTTTGGGAAGGCCTGAGCCAAGGGCACTTCCTTGGGAAATGCAGCAGTCTGGCAGTGCCCTAGAAGGACTGCTCTAGGTTCCTGTCTGTCGGTCGGTCTGTCTGCCCAGCACCCAGGCTGGCTGCCAACTTTCCATAAATGGTTGTTGAATAGATGAAAATGTGGCCTTGGGCAAATGCTTTCTCCTCTCTGAGTCTCCATATTCTTATCAAAAAATGGGGACAGTGATAATAGGTAGGGGTGGAGTGCAGGAGACTCTGGGTCTGGGGCACACAGGAAGGGGAGAAAACAGCTGGGAGGAGGCCTGTTGGAGCTCTGCTGGGGTGGGAGGTTTTGTTGGGTGGGAGAGGGGGCTGGGTACCTCTTTTCCTCTTGAGCTTTACTCATGATCACCTGTAACGAGGACAAAAGGAATTCTTTGGCCAATGTTAGTCAGGAGCAAGTGGGGGGATTTCCCTGCCAGGCTGACTAGGGGGCAGCAGTGAAGGTACAGGGGTATTCCTGAAGAGGGAGTTGGTTGAGCTGGGGGTGGGCTCCATGACCCCTGAGTCCCTTTGGCTGTCTGGGTGCAGATTGGGAAAGCATCTCTGCCCCACTGCGATAGGCTTAAGACCAGCTTGGTTCCCAGGCTACAAGGGTACAGGGAGTGGAGGACTGAGCCAGCCCAGGCCCTGAAGGAGAACTCCCACTGTCCCGCTGGGCTCCTTCTCATGCTACAGCAGGGGAGGTGGAGGCCCTGGGATCAATGGGAATAATTCATATAGGTGGTTCTGGAAAGGGGTTCTGTTTGGAGTGAGGCCTCCTGGGCTCTGCCATCCCCATCATTTTAGCCCTGCCCAGGCCCCTGGTCTCTACAGAGCATCTCA